AACACAGCAAGACCATGTCAAAAATTACAGGGTGGGGCAGGGATGGTAGCTCAGTGGTAGAATGCTTGCCTGGCATGTGCAGAAACAAACAGCCAGTCAACACAGTGTGCTCTGACGGTCAGTAGTCCAGGCTCCTGCTCAGCTCCCAGAGAGGCAGAAGACCTCAATCCCTGGTGGGGAGCTCAGGTTCCTGTGTCTTAGCTCACAGAGGAGCACCCAGGGAGGTCTGCCAAGCGAATGTACTTGTATTGTACTTCTTGGTTTGGAAATGTGATGGCTTGTTTTATTCCCTTACTTCTCATAACTACCTCTAAACACAAGGAAACGAACTCATGAGGGAAGAAAAACGGGGCCTCAACCCAGACCTTCTCATTCTCTTATCTGTTACTTTTTCCACTGATATTAGAAAAGGACAGGTTCCAGCATGAACTGCGGAGAGAGCTTAGGACCAAAAGAGAGGAGATTGGTTTCCTATGCCCAGAATGTTAGGCTGGAAAAGAACTTGGAGAGCCAGCTGAGAAATGGCAAGTGATTTTATGTTACAAGATAACTGATTTTCAGCAGGGGCTGTTGCTCCAGTAGCACCACGCTGGGGTCTCTAGGGCTGTTACTGGCTCAATGAGATGCCGGGCAGTGCTCAAATACCCGTCTGCCATGGCATGGAAAGCACTAATGGAAACGAAGATGCCAGCTATCCATCACATTTTCTTTTTCTGGTTCAATCTATTTTATAGGTAATAAAACTAAGTATCAGAAAACAGATGCATTTTAAGTCACGCAGCTGGACAGCAGTGAATCCACAACTCAAAACTATAAACCAGTACTTTTTCACTGTCATAATATCTTGGCCCTAATACTAGTTACAGCTCTGTAACTGTTGACAAATGAGCTCCCTGTGACTCAGTCTCCTCATCTGCAGGTGAGAGGGAATAATTCCTACTTGATCTATCTCAGAGAATGCTGGCAATCAAATGAAATGCCAGAATCCCAGGCCTTTGGCGTCCCAGGAGGACTATGTCCTTGCTACTGCACCATGATGTAATCACTGTGTGAGAAAACCCTGAAAAGCACAGACAGCCCTACAAAATGGGTATCAGGCATCGGGGACCGCAATTCTGCTTCAGGTGCATCTGCTCCATACCTGCAGACTTTGCCTGTGCACCTCACATGCAGGAGCGGGGCGGGGGTGGGGGGATCACGGCTACAGCAGAAGCAGCGCCTGGGCCCCCTGGGGGCAGCTGGTCCTAAGTACGTTTCAGGTTAGAGTGTGCAGGACTTCGGGTCTGTCCCCTTTTATTCCTCTCATCTCCGTTTTCTCTCAGGCGGGATGTCCCTGAGCTGGTCAAGGAGTATGCCTTGGCAATGGAACCCGGTACACCAAGGCCAGACCCCTCCCTCGAGAAGAGGCTGAAGTCAGCAGGGCCTGAGAGGGTGAGGCCCCATCCCTGGGTCTCCAGCTGCAGGTGCCCTCTTGGTCTGCCTGCTCATCACTGTTCTCCTCCGAGGCTCTGTCTCCACTCTCCTGCCCTCTGCTTTCTTCTGACTAATTTTTGTTGCTCCTTCAACCATGTTTCCCATCCCCGGTGACCTCGCTTTCCTCAGCTGCATTATCAGTGAGCTCAAGGAAAGTCAATTCCCCTGACCTGTTGGAGCACTGTTTCTTGGCGCTTTTCATAAAAACAGCTCACGCCAGCTCCCCAGATGAGATGTTGCCACAAAGTAGAGGTCATGGTTTGGGCTTGGGGTGTTAGAACAGACAGCTCATTCCTGTTAACTAGCTTCAGACTCATGGGATTGTAGGGCTAAAAGGAACCAACAAGGTCATTTAGTTTAACCAGTCACTGGAAATGGATTCTAAGTACTAAATATATCCTTGAACATAAAAGAACTCAAAAGCTCACAGGCAGCTCATTTTGTGGGTCTGAGAACCTCCTATCCACTGCATTTATTTGATTTGTGGATAATCACTGTTCACTAGAACATAAACTCTATAAGGCCAGGGATTGGGGGCAGCTTTCCTCATGACTGCCTAAAATAGTGCCTCACATATGGCAGCCACTCAAAAAATATTTATTGAATGAATTAATAACTGGTCTTGTTTATGGTCCTTGGGGTCTTTCAGAAGAATCTAATCCTTTTCGTCTTCTCCACAACAGCCCCTCAAATAATTCAAGACAGCTGTCACATTCCTTGAGTCGTCTCTTTCCCTGACCAAACCTTTACAGTTTTCTGAACATTAATGTGAAGAATATCCTGGAGCTTGTGGAGTGTACTCTGAGCTCCAGAGGCACAGAGCGGCAGGGCACCAGAAACGTTTCCCACTAGTCTCTGCTCTCATTTTGCAGCTAACAGAACGGAGGTCCCTAAAGGGAGAGCAGCAATGTTAGAAGGCTAAGCTGAGGGCCTTATTCAGTGGGAGACTGGCCAACATCAGGGACAGTGACAGGGGCCCTACAATGCAGAAAATCTGTAGGCAAAACAAACCCCAAATCCATGTACTTCCCCTCTTCTTGACATTGTCCATATAAGTAGCAGAATCTTAGAGCCCAAACCAAACTGCTATAACTTCATATGTGGTTTTTTTGGTACTGGGGAATTGAAACTGGGACCTTGAGCATGCCTGGCATATGCTCTATCCCTGAGCCACACCCAGCCTGCAGTCAGACTATTCATTCAACAAGCCCTGAAAAAATGTGCTGTGAACTGCACTGGCTTTAGGGGATATAGAGTTGAGAAAGAGATGTCTCTCTGCACTTGACATTTGTAGTTTTGTGGAGACACTCAAACCAGTAATTAAACTTCTATCAAATGGCTGTAGTGATATAAAGAGCAGCTGTCAGAGAGAACAGAGAGGGAGCTTGTAACTCAGCCTGGGGTGGGGTAATGAAGGCTTCCTGGAGTGGGGAGCAGCATTTGAGCACCGGGACCACGTTTGCCTGGGTTAGGTTTGCTACCAACCTTAACTGGGATGCAGCTGGCAGAGGTGGCTGCGGGCAGCCCTCAGCAGACAGCTCAATCCCCAAGGCTGCTCCTCCTGTGGTCAAGAGTAGCATAGTACAGTCTTCCAAGCAGAGAGCTGATGAGCTTTCTGAAGGCCTCCTGTTTTGTTGCTTCCTTATGAGTTGGGCTGTTCTGCTCTTGGAGTGGAGGTAAGAGGCTAAGCTCTCCCGGATGTGAAGCCAGGTGGCAGCCACCCAAATGAAGGTGGGATGTGACAATGGCCATGTAGGATGAGGGGGAGGGTGGAAGCAGGTTTCTGTAGACTTCTTTAGAAGACTGAAAAAGTAAGCAGAAAACAGAGTTCAGAGCACATATGCTTCTGACTCCCTCTGGCAGTGCTGGTCTCTCCTATGTTCGAAGGGAACTCCGTAAAAGTGGCTGGGACACTCCCAGAGAAGTCACATTGCTCATGGTCTCTGCATGCCTGGCATGTTCACACAACCCACATGCTGCCAACCCTGGTGTCTAAGCACTGCCACTGTCATGGAAAAAGGGGTGCAATATATTGGGAAACAGTGAGCCCACCAATATGGACTGGAGAGCACGAATGAACACACGATCAAACTCCAGACACTGTTAGGGGCTAGAAATTAATGATAATTCTAAGAAACTAGGTAGAAGCTTGCATCTTAGGACTCAACAGCCATGGCCACTAATAAAACTGAAACTTGACTGCCGGACTGAGCCAGAGGGGGGACAGAGGCACGCCGGGTAGATGAGGAGACTGTTCTGCAGGAGGCCTGTCTTTTGCTAAGTGGCTGATGCTGGATAGGTTGTCATGATGTGCCTCAGTTTCCCTTATGGCTAGTATTAGGATAAGTGGCTGATTACTAGCAAACTGTGGTCTGCTGAGGTTCTCAATGAAAATGCTTAATGATAAAACACAACAAAGAAGCCTTGGGAGGGGGGCTGGAAATTAGCTCAGTGGTTCCACTGCCTGCCTCGAAAGCTCCAGGTCCTAAGTTCGAGCCCTGGTACCAAAAAACCCCCCAAAACAAAAAAACAACCAAACAAAGAAGGCTTGGGGGTGGGAGGCATGGTTTTTATCCATCCTGCTCACTGGTTCATCACTGTCCATGCTATGGAGAGGAACAGCCCTGATGTTTATACAGCGGCTTCCATAATTCTGTTCACTCCTAATCTTTCAAGACAGGTATCACTATAATGTGTCCACTTTTCAGATGGAGGGACTACAGCTCAGAGAAACCCAGCAACTTGCTCAGGGTTCACAACTAACCAGACTAGCTCACCTGCGATACGGCCTCAGCCAACAAAGCCTCTGTCAGCAAAACTAGCTTCATCAGAGGGGCATTAAGTGTTTCAATGTGTCCCTTTAATGCATCGCGAATGCTCCCTGACACAGACAGCTGGGCCAGTGAGCAGGAGGAAGATTTAGAAGGTCTCGCTGCCACAACATTGAGGACAATGATGAGTAAGGTACAAAAATCTGATCTGTCCCCACAGTCTCTAGTGGGAGAAATAAACAAGTCAACATGCATCACACCACAGTGAGACAAATGGCTGACGGGACAAGTGCCCATGCGAAGCACACAGGAGGTTTGGGAATGTGAAAATCGCTGTGAGTTTGACTCTAGAGCAAGATATTTATCAAGTATTCCTTTCCTCACACATCCTAGCCATACAAATCATTAACTAAGAGAAGAGAGAAGAATATCCCTCCCTTTGTATTTGCAGAGCTTTGAAAGTCTTTTGTTTAAGACAGATTTTAAGGCTACTGTAATTGAATTTTTCGCCTGTGCTGGGAGCTGGCCCTATAACGAGTATTTGTTAAAGGGATAAATACAGGATCTTCACAAACACTCCGCAGAACTGGCATGTTTATCCTCCTTTTACAGGAGGGAAGTATGTTCCAGCTTGGAGGGATGGAGGAGCACATGAAGGTGGCTCAGGGCAAAGGGTAAATGACAAATAAGTGGCAGCCATCTGGTCATCTCGGCTGCACAGGTCCTGACAGCTTGCACTGTAGTCTGCATACACAGGGACAGGGCAGAGTTGTGTATGCCAGGCAGACTACACCTGCCCTGCCCTGCCCTGCCCTGCCCTGCCCTGGGGTATGTCTGCACGGAAGAGGACAGCTGCCTCATGGAAGTGGATACCCAGGTGGGTCAGAAGGGGACCCTGGGCAATGGGAAACAATTGTCAGGGCAGGGGTTAGACTGCAGTTAAAGGAGGGTCTGCTGTCCTGAACTCAGGTCTACTGCAGCTTGAGACTCTGTCTCTAGAAATCTAGTTCCCACCTGGACCTTCCCAGACGCCCATATCTTTTGGGTGATCTCTGCCACCAAACCATGGGAAGACCGCATTGCTGAGGTGCACATGGGGCAGCAGCAGAAGCATCAGCCTGCAGGGAGGCTCAGTGCTGCACCAGCACCAGCACTTAGTGTCGTGCGTGATGGGTGCCTGGTCCTCCCCTCCAAGGGGCTTGGTGTCTGGCTAGAAGTGGGAGACTCTTTATACACGAGGATTGACCAGAAAATGAAGAAATTGGTTTTGCTTGTGATTTGAAGAATCGCTGTCATTACTTTAGGTATGTGTGGAATATTTTATCTCTTCAATCAAATGATAATTTCCCCGAAATGGAGCCTGGTCATCTCTCTCACAGGCGCCTCACCCCTCAGCTGCAGCACGCAGAAGACACTCGAGGCCCACTATTTATGGGACGATGCGTGGGCAATGGGCTGCAAACAGTGGGTTAATCTTATATTTTCCTGACCACCACCAGCCTAGGAAGAGAGACAGCCTGAAGGGTCTCACTAAGAACTGTGCTCCTGCCCCAGGCCAGCAGCGGGAAACCTCCAGGCTCCAAACATTAACAGCACGAGGTTTCTCAGGTCAGGAGCTCAGTGGGGGGGACAGTGGGGTTCTGCTGACAGCAGAAGAGGCTATGGAGGCCAGCAGTTACAGGTGAAGAATCTGGGAACAGAATGCTTGGGTTCAAGTCCCAGCCTTTAAAAGCTGTGAGATCTTGGGCAAGCCTCTCTATCTCAGTTTCCTCACCTATGAGGAGCCACAGTGGTAACTGTACCTAAAATAGGGTTGTCGTGAAGATTAAAGGACCTAAGAGTTCTGGGGAACACAAACTGGAGGTAGATGCCAGGAAGCTTCCTCGTGTTGCATAGGTATCTTCTAGCAGAAGTGAGGGAGAGCCCAGCTGGGGAACAGCGAGCAGAGGCCTGGAGGCCACATGGCTAGGAACTGCCTGTCATGCCGTGTGGTTCAAGACCAGGTGCCAGGGAGGGACAGGAAGACAAGGCAGGTTACGGATGCCCCTGGTTCCTAACCAGGAGAGGTTAGGTCACCAGAGTCTTGGCATGACCTGCTAAAGGGTTTGAATTTTATCTTAAAGGGAATGGGGACCCTTAGGAGGCTTTTGGTGGGGTGTGTGCACGCATGTGTAATGATCAGATTTATATACCAAGATGCCCACTCAGCTGGTGGTAGAGGGCAGAACTAGGGTTGGGTGGCAGGGAGGCCAGGAGGCCATGGTAAGGCTGACACTAAGGGAGTGGACGGAGAGGACAGATCTGAGGAAGATCAAGAGGTTAAGCAGGACCCAGCATATACGAAAACTCCACCAATCCCTTATCCACATGCCAAGCCCTGTGCCTGGCACAGTGCATTTTGCTAGTTTTTTTTTCTGCAGTACTGAGCACTGAACCCATGGCCTTCACACTAAGCCACATACTCAGCACCCTTTTTTATTAGGGTTTCACAAAGTTGCTAAGTTGCCCAACCTGGGCTTACACTTGCGATCCTCCTGCCTCAGCCTCCCAGAGTGATGCGGTGACAGGCGTGTGTCACCACACCTAGCATCATCTCGAGTTCTTGCCCAAACCCTATGAGCCTCAGTGTGTGGATCAGGGGTTGCAGAACGTGGAGGGAATGGGTGCCCTTGGGGGTTGAAGACAGCCGAGGCACAACCTGCTAACTCCCTCTGATAAATATGAGAAAAGGAGGGTGGTTTTATTAAGGAGTAGCTAATGACGAGAGAGGTCAAACCACTGGCAAAAGGCACCCAAGAAAGGGATGAAGGGACTGGTGCATGCCCACTCTGAGTTATATGGGAGGCAAACCTTAAATTCAAACTTGCTTGACAGGGTCACTGTGTGTGTGTGTGCACATGTTTGCACGCACGCATTTTCACAGATCCATGCTCAGGCATTTGGATGGGAAAGAGTTGGGAGGGAGGGGGCAGGAATGGGTCCAAGCCTCCTTATGAATGATGATGACGTGGATGTCACAGGGACGCAGTCAACAGATGGCAATAAATTTGTAGGAAATGAGAGAGACAGATTTAAACCCAGAATCACAGGAGCCCTTAAACTGCTTCTATGCTAGGGAAGCACAGGAACATGACACCGTTTTTAAAGGATTAGCTCAATTCTGATCTGTCTCCCTCCAACGGTGGCAGGCAGGGATGGGAGGAGGAGTGGGGCTCTCCTCATGATGGAGCAGAAAGAATCAGAGAGTAATGGGGTGGGTGGAGAGGGGAGCAGAGAGAGGTCCCCATTCACTGCTCTGTCCAGTGCGCTGGCTCCTGACAGGCAGGGAGTGGGTGGCTGTTTATCTCTCACACCTCAGCTATCTGCTTCAGCAACGAGGTGTAAACTAACTTTCTTCAGGGGAAAATCTTCAGCTGCAGTGGGCTGGGGGTGGGACACATCAAAGGTCCAGAGACCTCAGGCAGGTGAGACCTGCCTTTCTTCCTGGGAGGAACCTCTTCTCTCTTCATCACGGTCCTGCTCCCAGAGGCTTCTCTATGCACACATTCATCTTTCCATAAAAAGGGAGCCCCTTTCGCTTGGCCCCGTCCATGAAATGAAGTTTTCTTTTCTTTCAGAGGTGGAGTGGGGCTTGGGAGAACTCACCATTTATTAGACTTTGACTTTTCATGTTCAAGGTGCACATCAGTTCCTTGAGTCTCAAACTAAGTCATGAAGACAGGTGGGGGGGCCAGGAAATGGGCTCAAATTGAGTTGAGTCCACTCTCATGGTGAAGGATGTGCCACTGGGAAGGTCCCGGGGAGAGACTCAGGAAGCCAGAGCTGCAGGGGGGCAGCATCTCTGCCATTAAAGCTGCTCCCATCAAGACCATCTTTTCAAGCCAGAGGTACCCCCTAAACACGGTACCCAGACAGGACGCCTTCACCGGTCTCACTCCTGTGCCTGAGCCCAGCCTTCCCAGTGTGCGTCTGGCATCCTGCCTTCCAGGGCAGCTTGCAGAGACCCATCAAGGACTGGTGCTTTGCCTGTAG